ATAATAATAACAACAAATGGAAGTAAATTTTGGGGGGGGTTTTGCTATAGGGTGTGTGAGCTCGCCAGAAAGACAGCGAGAAAGCAAGCAAGAAGGCACCCCCGGGGGGGGGGTGGCCACGCCCTTCTCCATTCTCCTCTCGGGATCTTGGGCACACAGGCACACACGCCTGGCATGAGTTTAACCACCGGGCCCGGGACTTGAACTATGGTTGACTACATGGGATTCCAGTGACAGCCATTATGCCAACTGCTGGTCCCAGAAGTAAAATAATTATTTAAAAAATACAGCTGGAGGGGCCAGCAGGTGGCATGTGGTTAGGATGCTGGACTCTCATGGTTCAAGTCCCAGACCAAGTGGCTTGCTTTCTCACTTCCTCTTCCTGTCTCTGATGAGGACACCTGTCCTATAGCAAACTGAAAAATAATAAGGTTTTTGAAACGCAGTTGGAGGGGCCGGCAGATGGTGTGGTGGTTAAGGAGCTGGACTCCCACACGGCTGACCACGGTTCAAGTCCCAGACCTGGTTCCTTGCTTTCTCATTTTCCCTCTCTCTCTGTCTCTCTCTGGTCAAACTGGAAAATGATGATAATAATAAATAAAGTTAAATTAAAAAATAATTATTTAAAAGAAATACAGTTGGAAATATAAAAGTTGGTAAATTTGGGCAGGCTTCACAATCCCTGCTTGTTTAGCAGCTGTTTACATCCCGTGTTGTAGAGGTGAGGGCTGTGAAGGCGCACTATGACTGCTGCCCAGCAGCCCCGCGTGGACATCACAGCAGGGGCCCAGACCCCATCCTCGCCCACCCTCTCCCCTGCAAGGGCTTATTCAGAGGTGCAGAAAACAGAAGCACACCAAGGGTCTGTCCTCAGCCATCGTAGCACCGAGTCCTGGGGCAGACGCACGACCCCATCACACACGCCCTCTGCCCTTCGGCCTCCTCTCAGAAAAGGACCCCGCGGCCTCCAGGCCTGCCCCCACGATGGCCTTCAGCTGCTCCAAAGCTGCCTCCTTTGCCCCTTGGCTGTTTAAGAGCTGCTGCTCCTCTCCTGCCCCTGCCCCAAGGCACAGTTGCCTCTTGCCTCACTGTTGGGTGCAGATCCGAAGGCCACTTGGGGAGGCCACAGGCGTTTACATGGGATGCCGAGGGCCATCCTCTCCCCAGCGGCCCCGGGGCTGTCCCTGGGCCGGGCAGTGCCGGGGCGCCTGCCCGGAGCCCACCTGGCCGCTGTGGCACCCACCTCCGCTGGCCAGGCTGCTCGCAGCTGTGACCGCCCCAGCCCCGGCCAGATGCCATGACCGGGTCCCCAAAAGGGATATGGTTTTACTGGCTTGTCACTGCCGCCCTGGGCCAGTCAGCTCTGTCCTCAGCCTGGAGATGGTGCCCGAGCGTGGCCTCCTCGCAGGAAGTGAACCGTGGCTAAGGGCGACTGCCAAACCCGCCGGATCTGCTGTCGAGCCGCTGTCCAGAGACGGGACCCTGGGGCACGAGCGCGTGACAGCCCAGAGTGATGCGATGGGCTCGCAGCTGCCCCGGGGCGGGACCACCCTGTCCCAGATCCACGCCTGCCTGCCTGGTGCCTGGGGTCACCCAGTGGCCTCACAGCAGGTCCACACCGCTGCAGTTGGCATTCTTGTCCCTGCTGTGCCGAGCTGTGGATTGCACTTCATCCTGGTGCACGTCCTGGGGTCAGGGCGGCTGTCCCAGCACCCACGGGGGCCTGGGAACACAGGGCACCACTGTGTTTCAGACATAGGAGACAGTGCGGCGGCGTGGAGGGGCTGGGCTTGGATCTGGGTGGGCGACGGCCACACGGATGCCCGCTGAGTGCTTCAGGGCGGGCCTGCCTTGTTGTCCCCCCACGTCTTGTGCGAGGGCCGCAGCTCGCCGGCCCAAGGCGCCCCGGCCGGCCCAGCCCTGGTGGGTGGTGCAGGCAGCAGCCCCCCGACCTGCAGTGCCTGAAACCACGCGGCCGCCATGGTTCAGATCCCAGGGGGAACCACAAAAGGCCAGTTGGGCACATGCCAGGGTCTGACTGGCTGGCAGAGGTCTGGGGGCAGGTGCTGCCTCATGATGTGACCCTGAGGATGTCCCAACTCTTGCCCCATCTCTGATGAGAGACAAAAAAAATTTTAACTCTATTTAACTTTTATTTATTTTAAAATTTGACCAGAAAGAGAAAGAGAGGGAGAGAGAGAAATTGAGAAAGCAAGCTGCCAGGTCCGGGACCCAAGCCGTGGTCGGCCACAGGGGAGTCCAGCACCATTAACCCCACGCCGCGCCTGAGCACCAGAGCCACCGTCCACCTCAGCAGCGAGGGATGCGAGCGGGCCTGCAGACGGCCGCGTCACCACCTGCACGGAGCCCGGTGCCGCTCATGGCCGTCCGTCCGGGCAGCACCAGTGACCGGCCGGGCTTTTGCAGCGCCCCCACTCGGAGGGCCGATACTGGGGTGCCTCCTGGTCTCACCTCCAGCTCGGAGTTCCGCCCTGGAAACCGAGCTCCCACTCCGCGTGCTGGTCCAGCAGGACGGCGCCCAGGCTGTGGGCCCCGAGCGCGGGTGGGTGGGCTCAGGGCCATGCGGTCGGGAGAGGGACTGCCTCCTTTCCGAGAGGCCGTGCGCCCTGCACTGCCCTCGGGCCGGCTGCCTCTGGGGGCGGCAGGACTGAGAACGGCTGGGCCCTCTGCGCGGGGGTGCCAGGTCCAGGTGGAGGATGCTCCAGCCGGGTAGGCCGAGGCGGTGTCCCCCACGGCCCGCAGCGCTGCTCCGTCTGCAGCCCGACCTCTGGGAGGCCCTGCCCGAGGTCTGTGGGGACCGCTGTCCTGGGTCCCCCAAGAGGCCACAGTCGAGGAGCCTCGATTTTCTGGAAGTCCTCGAGTATTTCTTCATAGTCGTGTCCGACGTCGTCTGTAAGAGCCCAAGACAGGACCTTCCGTGTTAGGCAAGTTCCTTCCCGCTGGGCCGTGTCCCCTTCCGCACAGGAAGGAGGGGTCCGGAAACCACGTCTGTCAACTCTGCGCCCGGCCCCTGCCGTGGGCTCTGTGGTCCCCGGGAGAGACAGGGACAGCCCACAAAACCGCCCCATGCAGGCCTGTCTGGCAGACTGTTCGGGGCGCAGGCCCGTCCAAGGCCAAGAGAGCGCCGGGGGTGGTGGCCGGCCGGAACTCACCTGGGTCCTGCACTGTGGGCCGCGTGGGCCGGGGGTCCTGCAGGAGGGCAGGGACCGTGCTGTACAGGGCGCCGTCCTGGGCCTTGGGCTGGGGCAGCTGGGGGTGCTGCTGGAGAAAGTGGCCCCCTGAGCCAGCGGTGAAGTCCAGGACACAGACTCGGAGCCCAGACCAGGTCAGGGAAGGCCGTTCCCTGACCCAGAATGCTCGGGCTCTCCTGGGTGGGTGAGGACGGCTGCGCCGTGTCCCACCTTGCACAGGGCCACCGCGGGGCCACGTCACACCCAGACCACAGCCGGCCTCCGAGGTGCTGGCTCCACACCCCGTGCTGCTCCCTCAGGCAGCAGGCTGCAACCAGGGTCCCTGCACCCCCAGGTGCTGGGCCCGCCTTCCTCTGAGAGGGACGCCGGACACCAACCCAGGGCTGAGACCTCCCCCTGCTCTCTTAGGACCCTCACACCACCACCCACGACCTCCCCTCATCATGCCACATGCCAGTCTCAGGCTCCCACAGGACACGCTCGTTAGTTTACGGACTTCTGTGCGTGCAGGTGCATGTGTACAGGTGTGCAGCGCGCGTGGTCCCACAGGTCCCACGTGTGCAAGTCCTGCCTTATTCGGGACCGGCTTTTTTTTTTTTTGGAGAAGTTTTTGCTATAGGGCACGTGCGCGACAGAGAGAGATAGAGAGACAGAAAGCGAGAAATCACCCCCCAGGGGGGATGGCCACACCGCAATCCCTTCTCCCCACCGCCATCCCTCCCCCTCCATTCTCCTCTCGGGATCTTGGGCACGCACGCACACACGCCGGGCGTGAGTTTAAGCCGCCGGGTCCGGGACGCGAACCACGGTCGACTACATGGGAGTCCAGTGACATAGCCCTTACGCTAACTGTTGGGACCGGCTCTTTTAATGGGCCAGGAATGAGGCGGCCTGGGAGGCCCGCGCCCCGACCGGTGCGGGTCGAGCGGCTCACCCGGCAGGCGGCTCACCCCGCAGGGCCAGGCCGGGGGAGGGACGCGGCGGAAGGGGGCGCCGCCTACCTGGCGTTCGG